TTTTCTATTTGAATTAATTGTAAACATCTGAAGATGTTAGCAAAAATCAAGCTTGGCTAAGTTGCATCAGGTGATCCTTATAATTCAGTTAATGGTGAACTGATGTAAATGTAAGATCTAGTCAGCAGAGTAAGATAACCAGAAGTCACTGTAGAGTGTGTGATCATTCCCACTCATTTGTGAAATAAATGGGTTGGATTCTTTAGGAAAGAAAGGCTCTGTTTGAATGTTTCTGGTGAGCTTCTTTGGAATGTAGTTTATTTAGCTTGTCATTGCAAGGAAAATAGGTGTGCTCTAGCAGAGATGAAAACAGATAGTAAGTTAATTGGGAATTAGTTAATTTTTTTATCAATAAAGAGTCCTCTGACTTCTGATGCATGAATGTACAGTAACTTTATAGTAATTACAACTGTTCTTGTGCTAATTAGGGCAAAACCCTGATGTGCCAACCTATAAAGAGCTGATTTAGTTTTTTTTGGTAAATAGGAACTAACACAAGTGAGAAACAACCTAAAGCTCCCTGTTGGTTTTGCCTACTGAAGTTCAGTGGACTCTTTGGTGATGAATGATCCCCACCTAAATGCCCACCTTTAAAACAGTGTTCATACTAATTTAGCAGGCTGGAAAGCTTTTGAGCAAAGTCTGCAGGAACAAATAGCTAAAAGTAGATATTTGTGATAGGTGAGATGTTTCAGCATATTCCTTTTGGAATTCCCTGAGGGGCAGAACAACAAGGACAAGGGGAGGGGAAAGGAGAGAAAGGGTAGGTTTCTTACCTCTGTCTTCTTCCCTTTGCCGCCTTCCCACCTCTCTTTTTCTTCTTGTGTTCAAACTTTCTCTTTGGGAAAGGGTAGTCCTAGGCCAAGATGAAGCCAGGCCTAAGAAATTCAGTTATTTCACAGGGAGCAGCTTATCTGCCTTAGGGAAAGAGGAGTATTGAATTGTTCTCTTCCTCCATCAGAGGGCTTTGTTTTGAGGGACACTGAGGAAGAGGAAGGCATCCCTGAAGACCTTCAGCAAAAGGAACTGCCTCAGGTACCTGCAGCCCACAGCCCAGAGAGGGGGGGAACCTGTAATGAGCCCCCTCCCAAAAAAAGAGACTCCATGAAACTCGTCCTCAGCGCTGATGGCCAGAAACTGCCCTCAGAAAAGAATCCTTTCTTCGAGTGTCCAGAATGTGGGAAGGGCTTCAAGGGGCACAGCAGACTCCTGAACCATCTGCAAATCCACAGTAGAGACAAAAGGTTTGTGTGTGCAGAATGTGGGAAGAGCTTTAGCAGGAAGGCCAACCTGGTGGTTCACCACAGAGTCCACACAGGAGAAAGGCCGTACAAGTGCAAGGAATGTGAGAAAGCCTTCAGCTGTGCCTCCAACCTCGTTACTCACCACAAGACCCATCTGAAAAAGAAAGCCTTCTCTTGCACCGTGTGCAGAAAAAGCTTCAGTGGCAACAAAGGTCTCCTGCAGCATCAGAGAGTCCATACGGGTGAGAAGCCCTACAGGCGTCCCAAGGGTGGGAACAACTTCCCTGTGAGCCCAAACTCCATCAAACATCAACATTTGAGAGAGGGTCCCAGTGCCCACACAGCAGGTAACTGAACTGAGGGCTGTCGTGTTGCCTTTTATTTCAAGTGGTAAGGAATCCCAGGGGATATATCAAATATTCTGGTCTCCACTTATGCCTTACGCACTTCTCCCTCCTTGCTGTGGATGGGAGGGTTGGGATTGGTTTTGTTGGCTCTGGTGGTGGTACTTTTTTCCCCTCTTTCTGTAAATTGGACAAGTGCCTTGAAAATGCCAAAGTTGAAATTTAGGTTTTGCCAGGGGGGGCTGCCTGGGCCCTTGGACTCTCAAAGCCCTCAGGTCCCACTACTGCCTGGTGTCTCATCCAAGATCTTCAGAAGTGCTTAGCCAACAAAATGCTAAGATTAGGGGTGTGGAAGGGATTTGGACTGTGAAACAGGACCTTAATCTCTAGCAGCTAATTTTTGTTATCTGTGGATGTTAGATGAGTAGGGTTTTTTGTCTGCAGTGGGAAGTCTCTGCTGGCTGTCCCTCAGGAATTTTCCTGGCACAGATGAGGGCATTGTCTCAAGTAGGGGGTTTTCTGGTCTTTGCAGAATTTCATGTTCTTGTAATGACCAGAAACTCTGGGATAAAAACTAACATTGTGTTTTTTTCCTGTTGTACTTTTCTGTGGGCAGTCCCTTTATACTTTGCCAAAAATGTTTGAAGTTTTCATCTTGGATCTTGTCTAGAGACCCCTGGAATTGTTCTGGGTGTTAGGATCTTGACCACCAGCTTATGAAATTCAGGGAAATTTAGACATGAGGCCACATGAGAAGCAGGTGTTTTGTTTGTTTCCTTTTTGCATTTGTTTTTGGTTTTTTGTTTGTCTGTCTTTGGGGGCTTTTGTTTGGGTTTTTTTGTTTGTTTGTTTGTTTTGGTTTATTTTTATTATTTGCTTTTGTTTGTCTTATGGAAAAAAATTTTGAGCAGAAGAGCTGAAATAATGATGACACTATACTGAATACTAATGAAGTTTATAGTGAAATGGCAAAATTCCTAAGGTAGAGTTTGAGGCCTCTCACTCCATAGATACAGAGAATTAGCCTAGTAACTTCTAGTAATGAGCCATAAAGGTGAAACCTTACACTCTCAATGCTTTTTTTCCATGATGGCTTTTAACAGATTTTTTAGATGTAAGACTTTATAGTGAATAAGAAAAAAAGTCTCATTTTTGCCCTGGCAGCTGGACAGTAATTAGTATCAGATCAGTCTAACACTATATCTGTTTCTAAAGAAAGTGTGCAAACACAATCTTATTAAATCTCAACTGTCCTGTTCCTTGACAGATCCCTTGCTCCAGCTTTACCTCCTCCTCTACCTGCATCCCCCCCCCAAAAAAAAAAAAGGTATGGGGGAATCAAGAGCATCTTGATTGTGATAAAATCCAAGTCTGTAATGTTTCAGGGGACTGTATCTGCATAATCTTTGGTCTGGTTTGGCTTAGTTTGGACCAACATGTGACTTGAATGAAGCTCTAAGTTTCAGATGTGGGTCAGAGGAGGGGTTGTTACTGAGCTGCCATGGTTAAAATGCTGACCTGGCAACTCTTGACTTCCACTGTCTCCCTTTTAGATGCAAACCAATCTGAATTTACATCTTTGCATCATAAAGAAGAGCAAAGCTGTCGTGCAGAGAGAGATCACTCCAAGCTTGTTTTTGAAGAATGTAAGTATAAAGAGGTTTCCAAATGGCCATGGCAGTGTATATTGACATAGCAAGCATTAACATTCTCTTCTCTTTGTACAGTGAAGAAAGTGAGGGAAAATATGGATATGCTTCTTCTAAATCAGCAAAGTCAGCTGCAGGTCCTGAAGGAAATTCAGAAACAACTGAATATCCTCATCCCTGGCAATGCCCTGGTGAATTCCAACGTTTACAGCTTGGGAGTTCTGCTGGGGCAGCAGGCGGCTGCAGCAGCTGCTGTTTCTTGCCCCCTTCTCAATCCCAGCAGTCTCCTTTGTGAAAATGCCACTGCCTTATCCCCTTCATCTGCCCGTGGAATTCTGCCTACCACTCAGCTCCCAAGCTCTCAGGATCTTGCAGCTTCCAGAACTTGCTCAGTGTTGTGCTGTGAACGAGTCCAGTGCCAACACACATGACTGTTCTGAGCCCTTTTGTCACTGGAACACGTGATCTCTGTGGTGTTGGAATTGTTATACCTGTGCAGGTGCTGACTGTGCACTCAGACTTGCTCCAGATGATCAAATCCTGCCCATTCATCCATTGTAGCCTGCAGAGGTTTTGGCCAGTGATGCCTTTTGTCAAGGCAGCTCCCGAGATTGTTATCACTGGGGTGAAGTGCAGCATCCTTTTACAGGGTGATGCATAAAACTTAAGCATATTTTTTACGTCTTTAGCCTGTACTTGGGCAATTGTACCTCTCCTAATGAGCTGAAACTAATGATAAAGTCCTAAGGGGTTCTTGAAGCATCTCCTACTAAGTCTGATTTATATAGAGTTGAAAGCAACATGCTGATGTAAAGATGTTCAACATTTTGCCAAAGCTTTCTTCCTTCAGGAGGTCTTGAAATTAGGTAACCTTGAAGTAGCAGACTCTTAGCCCAGCATCACTGCTAGAACTACAAATAAAGCCTTTTTTTTTTTAGATACAGACAACTCCTCCCACCTCCCCAAAAAAACAAACCAAAAAAACTTCACCAAAATACCACCTTTCAGATGTACCTCTGTTACTAAGAGTTCATGAAGAAAAGCCAAAAAAGCCAAATTGGTTTATAGGGCGCTTGTTCTTTGTGCAAGGGTGAACTCAGTTGAGTTGAGTTTGGTTTTAGATACTCTGCTATATCCTGTTTGGATTATTACGTGTTCTTGACTGTTATGTATTGGTGCATTGGGGGCAGGACTGCAGTAAATAATTACTGGTTGAGGAGGAACACTAAGAGGAACAGTCAGGAACACCATCTTGTGAAATCTGCAGAGGAAATAATCATATTTTCTTTTCCATTTCTGCAGGACTCAGACATTGGGCCTGTCAGGGTTGGAAAGTGCAGTTTTAAGACGTTTAGTTCGTTCTGCCTCGGTTTCTGTCAGTAACTCAGGGTTGTGGCAGTGTCAGAGCCTTTGAGCCTCTAAAATGCAGTGACTTACCTTTGAACAGCTGCTGGGATAAAGAAACTTTGGGCCTTGCACCTGTGTGAAACAGTCTTTCTCTTGAACTGATGCTGTGTTGTGGGTTGTTGGTTTTGTGGTTTGTTGTTTGGATTTTTATGTTCCCTTGTTAAAAGGATGCACCGTTAGTAATTAATAAAATGTTTCAGCTTTTAAGAATGCAAAACACTTTTTTTCTTAATAAGTCATCTTCTTATTGACAGAAGTCTGTGGGGCCAGGTATGACACTGTCTATCTGTGTGACTGCAGCTCTGGGGTACTGTTGTACTGTTCATAATTTCTTGGATGTTTAATGTAATTTTGCTTAGGAGCTGAATCCCCTCTTCAAATCAATGGTTAAAGTTTGTATTGTTGTTGTTTTTGAGACATTCATTATTAAAGTGTTGCAATTCTGTTAGAAATGAACCCCTGGTGAGCTTTTGTCCTTTGTAAATGAGCACCAGTGCTTAGACTTTGACACCTGAACAGGAGGTCAGTTACTCTAAGTCTATACCTACTGTGACTCCTACTTTTCTTCTTCCATCTTCCCCTTTCCCTGCATGTCCTTCCATTTCTGTCTTTAGAAATTCCAAAGAAGAAAACATAGCAGAAGTGGAAGACTTCACAACATAGACTGTGTGGGAGGACTCTTTTACTTGAGGGCTTAGGTAGGATTTTTTTCCTGTTGGGAGAGAGTTTGAGTATGATATTTCAGTTCACAGCTTTTGTATTGGGGTTCCCTAATGTGGTGTTTGAGTCTCAAATGAACTTAAGGATCAAGTCCCAAAATACCTCTGGGGACTGGAGGAAGTGCTGCTACAGTGGAGCACAAGGAACCCCATCATATTTGCTATTTTTGGCTTACCTCTCCTATGTAAGTTTGAGTTGATGCTGGAGTCTTTCCCCTGCTTTCCTCCTAAGCCCTTAGGTGGTTCTGAAAAATGCTGCTAAAAAGCTCCTATTTCTACTTGGGGTGGGGCTTGGGGGTTCCTTTCTCATCTTAGAAGGGACCTAGACTGCTTCTTCCTTGCAGTGCTCTGGCACTGATGTAAAAGTTGATAAAATATTAATTGCTTTCAGTAATAGCCACTCCTTGGTGCTGCTATAAACTAAGGTTATTGTTTTGACTGACTTCTGGTTTTCAGGGTATATTCCTTTACCTGTCAGGATTAGGTTTGATTTGTGGAACAGCTGCACTCCATGATCCCTGTGGGTCCTGTCCAACTCAGGATATTGTGTGATTCCATGATGTGACTTGTTTTATGGCAATCTCAGGTGCTGCTCATTGTTTAAGGCTTTCCAGGTCCCATTCTGCAGTTGCTAATTCTCTGTGGTTTGGAGGATCAAGGTATTCCATTCATGGTAACAGGTAGCAGTTTCTCAAATGGCATCTTCCCACTACCTGTTCTCCAAGGATTTACTTGCCTTGGGATCTTATTGCTGGTTCTCTGAGACTGCAGATATCTAATTTCTGGAAATACAGTCCTTTCTTTATTGGTACAGGCACATTTCCAAGTATTACCTAAAAGCTCTGTAGCAGTTATAATGTGGGCTTGAGAGAGACAAATCCTACCATCTTGTGGCAACTGATTTCATATGCCCTGGAAAGTGACCACAAAAACCCCAAATCTGGGTAATTTTATGGTACAACACTTAAAGGTGTCATACAGCTGTCTAGCAAATACAGCCTCTAGTAGCCAACTTCTGAGACTTCACATGAAGACAGAAAATCTCTAGTGGTTAGAAAGATGCAAATGAAATAACGTGCATTGGATTCTTTCTTTAGATATATTTGCCTTTAAAATATTTACTGAAAATATTCCTTGTGTTACTTCTCTGTATGAAAATACTCATGTGTGCTACACCTGCTTGATTTTCCTATATCCTTCTTTGTGTTTATGTTACCATGCAGCCAAGTATTCAAATGGCAGCATATTTAAATATATTCCTCAGGTGTTTGGAGCCTTTCCACAGAGCTTTTATAACAACGTGTGCAAAATACTTTCCTTGTATCTGTTTTATAGGGACATTTTCAAAAATAATACACAGTCTTTTCAGTGGCAGTTTTTCCTTCTCCAGATGTCATTTTCAGTTTGTTTTCTGTATGACCTGCAAGTATAAATAAAAAGAAAATGTTAGAAAATAAGGAAGACAGATGGCAAAATAACCGTTTCTACTTAAATTCTTTTCCGTTTTTCCTTGCATTTTAAAGCCTCCAAAGGAAGTCAGCATAACCATCTCTGGTTACTTTTAGGGGAAAGTAGGCTATTTATAGAATAATGCCAATACTAGCATTGTCTGGTATGCTCACAAATATATGCAAAGCCTGTCTTAGGCAAAATATAGCCAGAACTGTCAAATCTAACATTTTTAATACATATTGCCACAGATGGACAGAGTGAACACCAACTTACTAGTAATTCTGCTGCTTCTGCAGCTGCTGGGCACTGAGCTGTGAAACCTGGGATGTTCTTGCTTGCTCTTTGGAAAATAGATCCGTCTCTTACCATCCCAGACTGGACAGACTCACTTCTCCTTCCCTTCCCTTCACCTTTCCACCTCACTTTTTTAGTCAAACACTTTTAAGTCCTTAAAGATGTCAAGTGGTGTTTCTCCTCCTTTAAAAAGTGCTGACTTTTTGGATTTGTTTTACACACAGTGACACAAAGCCTCTCACCTCTAAAAACAGCAGAGCTAATACTTCTGCAGCAGAAAAATGAATTCTTATTTTACTCAAAAAGAAAAGCTCTTAGGACTAGGGACTTTAGTGTGTAATCAAAGAATCACAGAATGGTTTGGGTTGGAATGGACCTTAAAGCCCATCTCATTCCAACCCCCTGCCATGGGCAGGGACACCTTCCACTATCCCAGGTTGCTCAGAGCCCCATCCAACCTGGCCTTCAACACTTCCAGGGATGGGGCAGCCACAGCTTCTCTGGGCAACCTGTGCCAGGGCCTCACCTCCCTCACAGTAAATCACTGCTTTACAAGGCAACATTATCTTTACATGAGGAATTACATCAAAATCAAACAAAATGTGAAGTATTTTTAGTACATTTCCATAATTCTACAAGCTAAGTAACTCATTAATTTTCCTAATAATAAAACATAATTTTATTTTTTTAAATCGGCTAAGCCTTTTAAATGGTGGTCACTGACCACTCTGTTGGCATTGTCCACATTTTTGTGGCAATGGCGATTTAGATTTCATTCACAGAAAACATTTTTTAAAAGCTCCCTCCCACCCACTGTGCACAGCTCTTCAAAAGAAGGAAAAGGGAAGAAGAAGGGAAAAAACCCTCCACAATCATCAAATCAGCCTCGTCATAGACCAAGTAAGTCATGCCAAATTTTAACATTCTGGAAGTCATAAATGACTGTCACATCAAGGACTTGATTCAGTTCACTCGAGAGAAGGACAGTGAGCAGCCTTTGCTTTGGTAGATGTGCATTTTATGTAGAAACATAATCCATTCACTGCTGGGGTCGGTGGGAATTCTGCCATTAAAGTGTAACTGCATTAAGTATACATGGACTTCTGATTACTTAGCTGCAATCTGGAGAAAAACCAGCTCAAAAAACCCATTTGCATTTCACTGTTTGTGCTCTTCTTAAGAGTCCTTTCATTATAGTTTGGAAGAACATGTGAAAGATCATATGTTTGCTATTTATAATAATCCTGTTTTCTGCTGAGCAAGAGAATGTCTTTGAATATTACTTGAAGAGGGCTCTTGCTTAATTCATTTGGTAAGAATGATATCCTCTATTCCCTATACCTCAGTAGTTCTCTACATCACTAATATTCATCAGTCATTCTCTGTGTCAGCTGCTACCCCTTATCTGTGTTATCACAGGAAAAGGCAGCGTGGCATTTTCCTATTCCATGACTTTCCCTGGCACTCACTCAGCCACGTCATCCATTTGCTGGGTAGAGGAGAGCACACTCTGAGTGCCAGTCATTCCTTGAACACCTCCAGGGATGGTGATCCAGCACCTCCCTGGGCAGCCCCTTCCAATGCCTGACCACCCTTTCAGTGAAGAAATTCTTCCTGATGTCCAACCTGAGCCTCCCCTGGCACAGCTTGAGGC